GAACTCTAAGATCAAGTAGGAGACACTTCCTTTGGTATGTACAGTTATGAAAACCCTGAGTCATAAAGCAAAATCCAGGTCTTAGTGGATTTAAGGCGATGTTTGGAAAGTTCCAAGGAGTTTGAGGAGATTATTCAGCAGGTGGTTTCTAAAGACCCTAATGAGAGAGACTAGATATGATGATTCTCAGCCGTGGTTACATCTTAGAATCACCCGGAGAACTTTTCAAGTCACAGTGCCCAGGCAGCACCCAGACCAACTAGGCCAGGATTTCAGGTTGGGACCAGGAACCAGGGTTGTGAAATCTCTCCATGGAATTCGAATTTGCTCCCAAGCTTGTAAATCTGTGGCAAAATATGCCTGGGAAGATTTCTAAACGAAAAGTGTGGGTATAAGATTGATATCAGAGACTGGGTATCTGAAGGGGAGGAGAAAAAAATACAAATAGGAAAAAGGAAGGAGGGAATTTAGATAGATCCAGCTAGGTGACATAGATACAAATATATTCCACCTGCTTAAAAAAGAAAGACCTTATATTTTAAAACACCTAGTATAAGGAAAATCATTATGGCTACTTTTAAAACCAGGAGATTTGGACTAGAAGTAGTGGGTTAGGTAAGAATATCAGGTGAGAATTTTCTATAATTAATCAACCAGCACCTAACAGCCACATAACCTTTGGGAGCAGAGGTCTCTCTCACTTCAAAGGGCAAAATGGTCCATTTGTAGTTGAAGAAACCTGGGTTGGAGGATTTGTACTTTCCACAAAATCACAGATGGTTCACAATTTCTCTTCTAACTTATGACAGGACTTGTGGGAGCTGAAAACCAATTTCTCTTTCAGGCATAAAGATTTAGAAGATGTGGGATGGTTATGTAAAAATGCACCTATTCATGTTCTGAGTGAACCACACTTACAAGAGAAGCCACCATTTGTCTAACTAACCATGATAGACACCTAAAAGGAAATAACTTTTTGTACATATTTTTTTCAATCAACGAATATTTATTAAATGAGGTGCCAAGCACTGTTGTTGGCATTGGGGATAGAGTAGGTAACAAAATAGTCATCCTAGAATTTACATTTTAGTGGAAAAGACAGATCGTTAATGTAATTTCATATAGTGAGAAGTGTTATGAAGAAAAAAAAAAGCAGGAAAAGGAGCTAAGGAATGGTGAGGTGGGAGAAGGGAAGGTTAAGTTCAAGAGAAAGGCTAGGAAAGCCCTAAGGTCCATGTCTACACAGAAACTTGGTATAGTGCAGGAGTGGGCCACATGGATATGTGAAGAAGAAAGTTTCTAAGCAGAGCAAGCAACAAGTGCAAAGGCCCTGAGGCAGCTACCACCTGGGCCTGTTTGAGGAATATCAAGAAAGTGGATGCTGCAGAGCAGGTGCTGGGAAATAAGAGTAAAAGGCAGGTAGAGCAGATCACCTAGGGCTTTAACCATGCTGAGCACCTTGGATTTCATTCTAATGCAATGGGGAGACATTGGAGGGATTTGAGTGGGGAAGTGATAGGATCAAAAGAACTGCTGTACGAGATGCTGTGGAGACTGAATTAAAGGGAGAAGGAGAGGAGGCAGGGGGCCCAGGCAGGAGGCTCTGGCTAAAATTGCCCATGTGAGATGATGTGGGTTGGCGTGGCCATGGAGGTCATGAAAAGCACCCAGATTGGGGTTTTACCTTGAAGGTAGAGCCTACAGGATTTGCTGGCAGATTTGAAGTGGGAATGTGAAAAAAGGCTAGAAATTGAGGATGACTCCTAGGCTTATGCCCCAAGCAGGTAGATGAAATGGTGCCATTTCCTGAGACTAGGAACATGTTTGGTAAGAAGGATAAGAATGGTGAAAATCAAGATTTCTCTTGTGCACATGCCGTTTGAACAGAACATGGACATGCATACTAGACCTTTACATTAACCCACCCAATATCCATTCTCCCCATAGTAATCTCCAATTGCTTTTGCAGGTATCCTAAACTCCCTTGCTTCTTTGTCCCCCTGTGGTATCTCCCTGGCAAAAACAGAAACCTGGAATGAACCTCACCCCCTGGCTTCCCTGTGTCTGCTCCTGAATAACTACATGCTATTCAGAGAAAGCCACACATCAGGCAGATAAGAATCTTGCTAAATTCATGGTTACCAATCCCAGTGGATCCTCAGCACTTCCAGCATTGAGGGATGTTTGTAGAGTGGGGAAATACCTAAGGAAGGAACTCCGGGGATACTGAAATGAAGGGCTGCATGCAGGCAGAGGAGCAAGTAGAGGCAAGACAAATCGGTCGGTGCCCGGGAGCACCAGATGAGAAGAGTGCCTTGGAAGCAAAGGGAAGAGAGAATTTCAACAAGGCTTGGCCACCTGCCCTCATCTCTTCTTGAGCAAAACTCTTTTTAAGAATTGTTGGGTACCTGGGCAGGACAACCTGCTTAGTGCCACCCTACTGATGACAATTTCATTAGGGATGACTAAGCAAATCTCCCTGGAGACCCTTGGCATGTGCAAGTGTATTGGAGAAGCCAGGCTTTGCCAGGCTTTTGTTTCTTCACGTGGCACAAAGGAATCATTCCTACCTTCCCCAGGAAGACATTGGGAAGGTGTGGATGCGTGGGAAGCAAAGGGATTGTTTCAGTGGTAGTCATTGTCGGAGGTCAAGGCTGGGCTGCCACTGTTCTCAAGAACCACTGTGACTTTGTTTCAAAGTCTGCAGGGAATTTTTTTTGTTTGTTTTGAAGTTTTGTCTCTAGACATCTGGAATGCCAGGGTCAGTTCTGTGCCAAACCGCAAAAAGGATGAAAGCCTAGGACCTCCTCCTGGGACACCAACTTCCTTTTCAGCTTGAGGCCTGAGTAAAATCTGCCCTAAGAAAGTAGTTCAGGAGCTTCCTGTTAGTTCACCTTCCAAACAAAACTTGTACTTAATCCCCACCCTGGCAATCAGAGCTCAGAGTGAGAAGGGGTAATTTCAGGAGATCCACAGACAGGGCACTTTGCTGAGAACTGAATAGTGACCTCTTGACTTCCAGTAAGTACTGCTTGGTGGGACTGGCTTGGATTCTCAAGGCTGGGTGATCTGGGAACTTACCGAGCAAAATTGCTATTATGGGCTCTTTCTTCTATTATGAGCTGTATAATCAGAGGGAAACAGGACCTCTTAGTATCACACTCATCAAATCCCAAAAGATATTACAATGAACAGGTTAGATAATGATAGTGGGTAGATTTTCCTGAATGAGTCCAAAGAGCTAAATCTGAAAGGCTTTTTTGTTTGGGGGCAACAAGAAATGCAAGCAGAACTATAAAAAGATTTAATACTTTCTTAGATAGGAGGGAGAGCAAAGTGATTCAAACACCAACTCTCAGGTTAGAATTCTGACTCTGCTTCTTTTAATTATATGACCAAAGGCAAATTGCTTAATCTCTCTGGTAACAGTTTCCTTAGCTATAAAATGGGTATTATACCATTGTAAAAATAATGTTAAATTTTATAGTATTGTTATATTTTATATATAAGTATATATAAATGAAATCTAATGATAGTTTATATATATACCTTTGCTGATTTTTTATAAGAAAATCTATGTAATAGGTTTCATGCCTATGTACATAATGGATTTTACATATATGTACACATTTACTGGATTTTGTATATATGAAATTTACATAGATAATATGAAATAAATATATATTACATATATGATATCCACTGTACACATATATATAAAGTCCATTACACAAATTTTGCATAGAAGTGCCTAGAATATATTACGTACTCAATAAATGCTAGTCATTATTAACCAATCATAGAATCGTAGAATATCTGAGCTACCTAACAAGAAGCGTTCATTGAGTGCATAGTAGATTTTTCTCTGCCAGATTATCTCAAGTGTTGATGGTAATCCTTTGAGGCGGTAATATTGACACCACTTCCATTTTACAGATGAAGGAACAGAAGTGTAGAAAGGTGTTATCATGTACCCCAAATCACGTCTCTCATCACTGATGGAGATGGAATTTAAATCCAGATTCCAGAGTTAAGTCTAATCCACTACACCCTACTGCTTTGCTTCATCTGTCATCTCATTTTTTTGGTGGGTGAGGAAAAGTGACACAAGTAGTCCCTACGTGACTTTAGAGACTTTCACAGACATTGGAAGGCCAAAAACGTCCTCCAAAGCTTTGTCATCCACAATGTGCAGGGCGCACACGTGTTGCTGTGAGTGTCCTCAAGCACCCCTGAGGTGCCGTGTGCGGCTCTGCTGAGCAACCTAATACACGGCATAGGGCTCTCCCTCTATCACATGCAGTTTTACGTTTGTAAAACAAGCTATGTCAGAGGACAGTACTGAGACACCCAAGCATGATAATGCTTGCAAACACATTTTATAAACTGTAAAGGCTTTTGAAATAATTATTATATCAAGAACAAAAAGACTTTAGCATTTTAACAAAGATCTTGCTGTAAACACACTGCTTGAAAAACTCACCCTCAGCTAATCCCTCCTGCACAGTCCTCTGATCTGATCTTTGAGCTCCATCACTCACTAGGCTAAATGCCCCATGGGAGGGGTGGCCAAGTCCCACACTCATGGATAGAGGGAAGGTTGATGGGCTGAGAACCTCTGGTCCCCAAATCTGCTTCAGTGAAACCCCTGAAACTGGCAAGAACCTCATGGACATGATATGAAACCTTTGATAGTAAATTTTTGAATTTCCCATGCTTTCTGGAGGGTGGGCAAGGTTTTAGATAGGTTTTATTCCTCTTCCTTGTGTAGAATGGCTCTTCCGGCCCCGACAATGCCTTTCCCAGGCATTCCAGCTCATTGCACAGATCTAAGTGTGCACGTTACACCAAGCAGGGGTTAAGGGCATCAGTTCTTCAAAGTATGCCTTTAAGACACTTCAGAGAGGCTGCAGTTTATTATATTTTACTTGTTATCTGTTTGTTATTTGTTCACATAATTGTTATTGTTATTATACAAGAGACCCTCAACAGCAAAATACCTTTCTCCAGTCAGGAAAGGGGTTTGTCCAGGAAGGGGTGAGTCCAGGGTCCAGGAAATCCCCTTCTGATCTTCAGATAGCTTCCACATGCTTGTGAAAAACCACCAGAAGTGTACTTTGAGAACTGTGGGCTTAGGACTTCCATCTCTGTTAAAAAAAAATCATATAGGTGATAGCTGGTAGCTAGAATTATCATGTATATAAATGTTGAATCACTGTGTTGTACACCTGAAACTAATGTAATACTGTGTGTCAACTACCCTTCAATAAAAAATAAAAAAAATAAAATACAGAAATCATATATATAATTAAAGAATTTATATATATATACACAAATATATATATATATATATGCACACATACATATATATGCTATGAGCCATTTATGCCTTAGGAGGAAAGAATGAGTTTATGCTGAAGAAAGGGAGGAACCGGGGGCGTGGAATGACGGTAGGGCAGTTGGGTGGCAGAGGGCCCTTCGCCTCCTCTCTTTTCCCTGGGACTGTCCTGTTCAGTGCTTCCTTCTATTTTGAGAGTCTTGGTAATTCAAGGTAAAAACTGGTCACCAACACCTCACCTGCCCTGCAGCCCTTTTTACCCTGTGGGAGTCCCCTTCTCACAGAGGCCCATGCTGGTCATGGGATCGCCAGCAAGGGTGTCCAGAAAGAACTCCACCTCTCAGAGTCGCTCAGCCCCCAGAGTCGGGTAGCCCTGGGAAAGGGCCACTCAGAGACTGAGGCAATTTAGGAACAGAGGCATGCCCTGGCCCTTGCTCTTAGGTTTCCATCTAGAGAAACCAGGTTCCTGGCATGGATAAGGGCTTATCTTGGGCCTTCTCTCATCCAGAACTGTTTTGTCAGCCACATTTGGCCCCTGGCACCCTGCGCCTGCCCTGTTCTTGTCCCTCCTCCTCAGCGTTGCTTCTCCCAGGGGATCTCTTGTCAGAGCCACTTAAGGAGAAAGAGCAGAGAAAGTCCAGGGAAGACCCTGTCTCGGTCATCCTGGCAACACCCCCACACAACTGCTGCTTGAGCACTAGCTGCCTGAATGTGTTCATATTATCATGGCTACTATCAGCCTTGGGAGCAGAACGGGCAGGGGGAGGCTGATAACCCACCTCACCCACATTCGTGGGCACCACCCTGATACATGGTGATTGAGTGGGTAGTCAGTGAAACACACTGTTTGGAAACTAAAGAACAGGTAACCCTTCTTTTTGACAGGTGAGAACAGACAACCATAATGGGAGCCAAGTCTCAGAAGAGTCCAGGTACCCAAGGTTCATACTCTCTGAAGGAAAAGACTTTTTATTGCAAGTGACGAACAGTTGCCATCAAGCTAGCCAGGACACAGAAGATGGTTTTAGTGCGGATAAGGACTGGCGTTCTAGAACAATGATTCTTGATTTGAGGAAGGTAGCTGGGTTATTGGATCCAGTTAATTGTTTTGCAAGAGCTCACTTAACTAGAAATCTGGCATTTTATGATTTTCATGGACCACTTGTTGCTTGGAGACGGCACTAACAATAGCCCAGAGAAATCTGGAGACTATTTCATTAATTTTATATGACATTCTTACTTAGAGAAACTGCCTAAATTATTATCAGGATTTATTATGGGGGTAGCTCAAGGTGCATTGCTCAAATGCTCATACTCATATTTACATAGTTCATTAGAGGCCAGTGGTTAGAACTGCTAAGTTTAAGATGAAACAATTTAGAAACCAAATTATCCAATTCAGTTCAAAATCAAATATTTTTAAATGTTTATTGAAAGCTCCTATTAAAAAGTCATTGTGCTTCATATTGAAGAGGCTATATAGGATCATTAATGAGTATCATTGCTTTCAATGAGTTTATAATTTCATTGGGAAATTAAGATAAATATATTTGAGTAGCTTTATTGGGAAGTTAAGATAAACACACACAATCCAGCTATGATAGAAATCATGAAATAAGTGCAAAATGCTATTGGAGTCTGAAGGGAAAAAAGACATACCAGTAGTTATGGGAATCTAGACACATTTTATGAAGAAGTCATATGAGCTGGACCCTAAAGGATGTGTAGAGTTTTAAAAGGGATTGAAAAAGAGAGCCCATCTCAGCAGAAAAGGATGGCATGAGCAGAAGTAATGAGTGGGTTAGGGACAGAATGTGTCAGAGAAGAATGTGGATATAAGGTAGGACAGGAGAAAGTAGTTGAGACTGCAAAAATGTGGCACTATATTGTGCCGGACCTGAACCCCATATGACCAGCCCTTTTGAACACAGGCATAACATGATCAGATGCATGTTGAATTGGTCATATTTTTTAAATAATTTCTGTGGTATAATTGACACACAATAAACTGCTTTAAAGTGTACAATTTAAGTTTTGGTATGTGTGTATTCCTGGGAAACTGTCATCATAATCAATATAGTGAACATATGCATCATTCCCAAAAGTTTTCTTATGCCCGTTAGTAACCCCTCTCTCTACTACCCAATCCACCTCCCTATTGTTCTGTTTTCTGTCTAAGTTCTCTTGTGTTTAGTAGAGTTTACATAAACGAATCATACACTATGCATTATTTTGTCTGGCTTCTTTCACCCAGAATAATTCTTTTGAGATTCATTCACGTTGTTGCATACATCACTTGTTTAACCCTTTTTTCACTGAGTAATATTCCATTATATAGATGCACCACATTTGTTGATTTCATTTACCTGTTGATGAACACCTAGGTTGCTTCCAGTCTTTGCCTATTATGAAGAAAGCCAGTATAAACATTTCTATGTAGTATTTCCTAAGATCATATATTTCTTTACCTAGGAGTAGAATGGCTGGGTTTGGTAAGAGTATGTTTTACTTTTTTTTCAAATAGATTTTTTTATTTTTTAAAAAACTTTATTGAAGTATAATTGGCATACACTTATATGCTGACGTTTTAAGTCTGTCATTTCATGTTTTGACATCTGTATACATCTGTAAAACCATCACCAAAATCAAGATGATGAACATATCCATCACCCCATAAGTTTTCTTGTTCCCCCCGACCCCAGCCTTCAGTACACCCATATTTCCCCAGACATCCACTGATCTGCTTTCTATCTCTAAAAATTCCCTTGGATTTTCTAGAATTTTCTATAAATAGAATCACACATCATGCACATTTTTTGTCTAGCTTCTTTCACTCAGCATAATTCTTTTGAGCTTCATCTATGTTGTTATATGTATCATGAGTTAATTCCTTTTTATTCCCAAGTAGTATCCCATTCTATGGATATATTACAATTTGTTAGTCCATTCACCTGTTGATAAACATATGGGTTGTTTCCAGTCTTTAGCTATTTTAAATAAGCTGCCATGAACACTCATGACAAACTTTTGTATGTGTTTTTTTATCATATATTCCTTTACTCAAGAGTGGAATAGCATTTTAATTTTTTTTCAAATTAAGGAAAAACAAAGCAAACAATTTAGTGGCATTTAGTACAGTCACAGTGTTATACGACCATCACTTCTATCAAGTTCCCAAACATTACCACTACTCTGATTAAGCAGTTTCTCTTCCACTCTCCCCCAGCCCCTAGGCCCTCATCAACTGTTAATATGCTTTCTATTTCCATGGATTTATCTATTCTAGATATTTCATATAAATGAAATCTTAAATTATATGAGGCTTTGTGTCTAGCTTCTTTCATTAAGTGCTGCTTTATTGGCATGCCACATATTCTGACATGTTATGATTTCATTTTCATTCAGTTCAAAAAAATTATCTAATTTATCTGTGGGTTTCTTCTTTGATCCAAGGGTTATTTGTTTCAGTTTTTTTTTTTGGAGGTTTTTCTGTTGTTGATTTTCAGTTTGATTCCATTATGTTCTGAAAACATACTTTGTATGACTTCATATTTATTGACACTTATTTTATGGTCCAGAATATAATGTCTTGGTAAATGTTGCATGTGTCCTTGAGAAGAGTATGTATTCTGCTGTTGTTCAGTGGAGTGTTCCATAAATATCAATCAGGTCAAGTTGGTTGATAGTGTTTTTCAAGTCTGCTATATCTTTGTGATTTTCTGCCTGGTTTTTCAATCAATTATTGAGAGAGGAGTGTTGAAATCTGTTACTATAATTGTGGATTTGTCTATTTCTTTGGGTAGTTCTGTCAGCTTTTGCTTCATGTACATTGAAGCTTTGTTATTAGATACATAACTGTGTAGGATTATGATATCCTCTTGATTAATAACCCCCTTTATCATTATGAAAAGACCTGCTTTATCCCTGGTAATGTATTTTTGCTTTGAAATCTGCATTGGTATTCTTATAGACCCTCCAGCTTTCTTTTGACTGATGTTATCATAGTATATCTTTTTCTCATCTTTTACTTATAACCTATTTGTTATATAGTTGAGCCAGCATATAGTTGAGGCTGGCTTATTTATCCAATTTGACAATCTCTGTTTTTTATTTTATATCATTTACATTTAATGTGATTATTGATATGGTTAGGTTTGAGGCTATCATGCTCTTGTTTTCTATTTGTCTTATTTGTTCTTTGTTTTTCATTTTTTCATTTTTTGAACTCATTTAGTATTTTTTATGTTTCCATGTTACCTCCCTTCTTGGGTTGTTCATTATAACTCTGTTTTGTTGTTTTAGTGGCTGTATTAGGGTTTATAGAATACAGTTTCAACACATTACAATCTAGCTTAATACAAATTTTATTATACCAATTTACATATAAGAATTTTATAAAAGTGCTCTTCCATTTTTCCTTCCTGGATTTCATGCATTTTACTTATATATATGTTATAATCTGCAAAATACATTGTTATTATTTTTGTATGAACAATCCATTGAATTTTTTAATGTTTTAAATAATTTAAAAATTATATATTTACATTTGCAGTTACCACTTCAGTGTTCAGTCTTTATTCATTTTTATAAATGCAGATCTCCATCTGGTATCATTGTTTTTTCACCTGAAGGACTTCTTTTAACATATCTTGTAGTGCACACCTTCTGATGATGAATGCCTTCATTTCTGAAAGACGTTTTTACTGCATATAGAGTTCTAGAATGACAGTGTTTTTCTTTCAGTACTTTAAATATGTTGTTCCTGTTGTGTGGTTTCTGTTTATTTTTGTTTGTTTATTTGCTCATGTCGTTTCTGGTGAGAAATTTAACATCTTTGTTTTTCCCTCTGTATGCATTATATCTTTTTTCTTTTCTGGCTCCATTTAAGGATTTTCTTTATCACTGGTTTTGAACAATTTGATGATGATGTGCCTTGGTATAGTTTTCCTCACATACCTTGTGTTTGGCATTCCTGAGCTGCTTGGATCTCTGGGTTTATAGTTTTAAATTTGTAAAATGTTCAGCATTACTTCTTCAAATATTTCTTCTGTCTCCCTGCGTCACTTCAGGGACTCCAATGGCTTGTATATGAGGCCACTTGAAATTCTTCCACAATGCACTGATGCTCTTTTAATGTGTTTGGGTTCCCTTTTCACTCTGCGTTTATTCCTACAATCCCTATTGCTATGCTTTCAGGGGTACTACCGGGTGTGCATTGCTTCATGAGCTCAGATGAACATGGCCAAATTGTCCACTGGGTTATTTTCCTCGGTGCAAGTTCTGGGGAAAACTGTACCATCAGCATAGTCAAGAAACACCATCAGAACTTTTGTGCCCTGGAGTGGGTCCCCAATGTGAATACAAGGGATACCCTGAGGGTTCCAAAACTGGGCTACATCTTCACAGACATTTACTTTAATCTAATTTTCTGCTAAGTCTATGTTAATGTTATCAGAGACTTCTAAGACCAAATTTTCATAAAATATCTATATCTGCTGAACCCTCTAAACTTAATACCACCAAAGAGCACCTATATTATAGGCAGATTGAAGACCAGCTTATTCTGTCAGTAATAAAGGCTAAATTTTCCTCTATTATTAATAATAGCCTCTCTTCCATGAGATCTACTGTGTGCCAGGCCCAGGACTGAGAGGTTTCCGTACCTTAACTCCACAGTCCTCAACACAGACTTATGAGGTCAGTGCCATTGTCTCCATTTTACATTTGAGGAAACGGGGGAAAATTTGGTGATTCAAGGTGCTTTAAAATTTTTTGGTCAGTAAGTAAATCCAGGAGTTTATCCAAGGTCACACAACTATTAAATAAAGGAGCTAAAACTTTTTGCTGTACTGTTTTCTTTTTCTTTTTTTTTCTTTTTTTCTGGGGGTTTGAGGGTGACGAAGCAGGCAGAGTTGCTGCGGAAGGAGCAGGGGAGGAAAGGAGAGAAAGGCTGCCTAAGAATTTCTGGATACTAGCATAATAGCCATGTCAGCTGTACTATCTAATCCTGATCCTGATTTCACTTAATAAAAGAAGCCCTACTTCTTTAGTAAAGGCTGTGTTTTATAAAGCCATAGGCAAACTAAAACTACAACCTGGATGTGAAAGCAAAACCAAGCTCCTTTTATTTTTTTAATAAATTTTAACAACATAAATTGTGTTTCCCTAAATAATGAAAATAGTACATTTTCTTGTAGACATTTTCAAAAATAAAGAAAAAATCAAAAGTACCAAAAAATTTCAACAGTTACAAAGAAGCAGTTAACATTTTGGAAACCTGTTGACTTAACCTCCTTTTCAAGCTGAAGGACAAGGCAGCATTATCTAGTTCCTGTGGCTAATGTTTCAACAGGAATGGAGACATACCTTTGCTCACAACTGGATAACCAACAAAGTATTCCAGAAACAGAGCAAGACAGGTGTGAGCTGAATTAAAAAGCTTCCAAATGTCCTCTGAGGGAAGGTCCTGGCCGTGGATGAGTAAGAATCACACACTTGGTCCTTTGGGTCCTTTGTTTTCCTGACCTATTATAGATGTTTCTTTCCATAACGGAATAATTTGAAGACTCTTCCAGAGAGAAACAGTGTTTTCCAACTGAAGCAGTTCTTTTCAGAAATTTACAGGGAACAAACTGAGTCTGTTTGATTTCTTTTATTAGGCAAACAATTTACATTTTATTATGAAAATGAATTCTGCCAACAAGATTACTTTATTAAATCACCATCTCCTCAGGTTTTCTTCTCTGCTGTAAGTATTCATTATGATTTAACAGGCCTCCCACCAGCCTCATGAGCATTTTTTAAATCCTTTCTCTTCCTCTAAGATTTAACTGACATGCAAAATGTTTTCATTTTTCAGGCCTCTTGGAAAAAGCGTCTTTTTAATCTGGCAAAGAGTGGGGAAAAGAGCTTTAGCATTTCCTATTACAAAGACCATCAATGCCGAGGGTCCATTGAAATTGACCAGTACGCATTCAATCAAGAAAATGCTTATAATAACCAATACTAACAAGTTGCATGCAAACTGAAGTTTAAATCATTGACTGAAAGTACCAGTCTTCACATGTATAATATTTGTTGCTGAAAAGAATCTAAATGGGCAACATTTTGAGTAAAAAATAGCTAAACACTTACTTCAGATTGTTATGTGCATATACATATTATAGTTGATAAATCATTAATAAGTAAGCATTTAGTTACAAAAGATTTGATTTAACTTATGGATGAGCGAGAACAGATGAAAGCATCATTTCATAAACCCAAGATGGACTTTTAAAAAATATTAGGTTGGTTTTTTTTATCTTCTCTTTAAGAAATTACATACCAAAAATATTAGAAAATGTGATAATTTGTGGAACCAAGAATCCAATTGAAATAGAATGTTTTGAATTAACTTTCTGATGGAACAAACTAGTTTTAATCAGTGATGAACCAGATCTAAATTTATTTTTTTAAATTAAAAGACAATTTTCAAATCATTAAATCAATCAGATCTATAGTTTTATTTAGTTTGAATCCTAATATAAAACATTAGTCAGTTTTCTAATTTTGTATTTGCATCTGTTTAATACTTTATATCTATACCTACTAGAAACTCCAGTGTACAAATTAGCATAAGTAGCCATGAAAAAATGCAATCCGTTCAGAAGATGTTTGAATGCTACCCTGATGGGGCGATGCCCATCAGAACCACTAAGAGGGAATGCTTCCTCATTGGCTGTGACAGGTAAGTAGTAAGATAGCACAGTGTCTCCTGTGTGCAAAATAAAAAACAAATACATCATTTTACATCGGTAAGCCATAAACATATTTTGAGCAGAAATCCATGGCTACAACCTTCAACACCATCCTGGTAGGCATTCTTTGTTAGAATACCTTGAAAATGTCACAGTATTCATTTCCTAGGGCTGCCATAGCAAAGCACCACAAACTGGGTAGCCTAGAAATGCATCATCTCACTGTTCTGGAAGCTAGGAGCCCGAAATCAAGGTGTCATAAGGCCATGCTTCCTCTGATGGCTCTAGGGAAGATCTGTTCCTGCCTCTCCTAATTTCTGGTTGTTCCTTGGCCTGTGGAAGCCTAAGTCCAACCTCCACAAGGCATTGGCTCTGTGTGCATGTGTCTGGATGCAACTTTTCCCTTTTTATAAGGACACTAGTCATAATGGATTCTGAGTCTGCCTTACTCCAGTATGACCTCATTTTAGTTCATTAGATCTGCAACAACCCAACCCAATTTCCATATAAGGTCACATGCTGAAGGAATGGGGACTGGGACTTCAACATATGAATTTGAGGGGGACACAATTCAACCCAGAACAGTCACCATCACCCCAGATGCATTCCACAGAAAAGAACCCAATCCACAAACATTTGTACAAGCTGTATATTAGAGAGGAGCTCTGTCCAGCCCTGAAAAGAGTCCAGTTGCTAGGCCTCCTGATGCTAGCAAAGGGCCTCCTGATGCCAGCAAAGGGACCTAATGGATTCTTTACAGATGACTATCTCTGAACAGAGACACTAAGGCTGGGGGAGGAAGCCGGGCAGAGGAGACAGCAAATGCTAAAGCCAAAGATGAAGAACTTAGATCCGTTGCCCCCAAAGCAAAAGCTTTCTTTTAAGTTGTCATGAGTGCCAACAGAAAAGATGTGATTTCTATAAATCTGTTCAAACGCATTCTTCATAAACACATGCATGCCCGAAAGGGAGGCACACCTGGATAGCTATGCAAAAGCGGCACTGACAGGTTAAGGCGTTCACTTAAGAGCACAAAAGCAATCATTGCCAAAGCCCAAAGCTCCCCGCCCCATGATTAGTTCTGTTATTTTCTACCTTTCTTCCCATTTTTCTGAGCTTTCCTCACAGAAGCAGCATGAGGGTTGATTCTAGTGTACGAGTGTGGAGGTGGTGAAGAACCAGTGGGTCACTTAAGCTCCTTAAGAAAATGTCCTTATTTCCTAGTACCTTCTCCCACCCTCTGTTCCAAACCTAATAAAAGAATTCTTCTCTAATTCAAAAGGAGCACAGGTGCTATTATTGCCACATGCCAGCTGCAAGTTTATTCATATCAACAGGGAGAAGATTAAAGACTGGGTCTCCTTCATGTCATCATTCTGCTGGGATGTAAAAGCAGCCCAGAATACAGAGGTGACTCTATTATCACTAATAAAATAACAGGGCACCTGAATGCAGTCCTCTTTCACAAAGAAACAATGATAGCTTTTTTTCCCCCTTCTTAGCAACTGGCATTAGCAAGGAATAAGTAAGTGAGAAAATGTTCGTTTCTGTTATTTTTATTATTAACAATAGGAAAAAATACTTCTTCTGTGTTTTGCAAGAGACCCAAAATACAGACACTTCAGAATTTCATTTATTAGGGTGGGAGGAGTGAAAAGTTAACTGTCGCTTTTTTTAATAGTAGCTGAAACTATCGTGTTTTCCATCATTGTTATTCAAGGTACACAACAGCTACTTTTTAAATAACTAAGTCTAAGGTGGTTTCTATAAAAATGCTTTCCACATATCTTATATACTCAATATAATGTCTCTTTAATGTAAGGACTAGCAGCTTTAAGTTTTTGATTTACTTCTTAAGAACCTTTGCTAATTTACACAAGTCCTTTCTTAGGGCAGACCTTTATAAATGAAACATTGGTCTTCAGTTTTGACATGTTTTCTAGATTGTTCTAGGCTACAACAAAAGTAGAGGTCAAGAAGGAGGGGAAAACAAGGTGTGTCCACAAGTAGACACAAACGATTAGAGCAAAGGAATGGGGTGCAAAGAGACATAGAGTTGAGATGATAGGTTGAAGGAAAGCTCAGGACATCTCTGAGGGTGAGGCTGAGCGTCCTCAAGGGTTTGGAAGCAGGAAAGAGACAAGATCTCTTCAGGTTTTAGTGAGAGAATGCTGGCCAGCAGTATAAATGCTGGTGGTGAAAGACTGGAGGCAGGAAGCCTGTTACGAGGCTGTTCCTTCATTGCAGGCAAGAGATCTCCTGTGCCCTGATTCCCATATTCCTTTTCAATAAGTAGGAGAAACTCTCATTGGTTGATAAAAAGCCCTCTTCAGACCCCAGCCCTCTCTGCCATCCTTGCAGAGTACTGGAGGTTGTCAGCTCTTCCATACCAGGAAATAGTCTTCCAGACGTGGTAATGAGGCTTACCTCTCTCTCTCAGGTTGCCATAACTAGGTGTCAATTGATGCTTCAAAAGTCTTGTATCTGACAGTGTATCTGACAACATCCTCAAAACCTAACCCACCATACGAATAATTCTTAGCTCTAGTATTTATGTCATGTTTGGTCTGTTTCTCATACTGCAGATGATCCTTCCTGTTGCCCAGCCTATCCCTAAATATATTCATTCATTTTGGAGATGCTCCTCAACATGCATCTGGGCATGTTGGGTGGGGACCCCACCAGCTAAACAAGCCTGGCTGGCAATCTTCTCTTGCCCTTCACACACAGGGCACAGATTGCCTCTGTAAGAAGATTCCCAAAGCACCACTTGATCTTCTGCCATCCATCTGTATTCCTGAGGCAAAATCAGAGTTCCTATTAATTTCCTTCATTTATCCATATTAGTCATGCTTCTCTGTATGTATGCATGTGTAGGAGACTTCATCTTCATTTCTAATAAAGTCCTTTTGAGGAAAAACATACATCTGCCCCTTGAAAGTGACTTGTAATTGTACTGTCAGCTTTTATGGGTTTGCAATCTTCTCGATTTTGGATATTATTAATAACCAGGCAGAGTGGTTTCTTTTCTTCCATGGGTACTATTTTGTCCTTTAGAGATGTGACCATTGACTTTCCCTTCTCCCCAGGTACCAGGTATTTCTTCATATGGCACAGCCTCCTGTTTTATCTAATTGGGAGCTCTCCAACTATTTTAAAAGCTTTTCGTGGCATGTCAAGTTCACCAGGCCACACACCTCATTTGGTGTTCGTAGGAAAGGTCTAGGAAATGGGAGCGACTCTTTTCAGTAAATACCTCTTGTGTATCACTCATGATACCCCTTCTCCCTAAAGATAACGGTACTGGCCATCTTGTCTTTTCACACCATGTATTCCAATCCGGGGATTTTTCAATCAGCCCCAGTTAAGAGCACTGTCTACCTTGTTTGGATTTTATTGTTGTTGTTCTTGTTGAAATTAAGTGGGGACCCCTCCTTATCCCCAACACAGCATGATCTGGCTCTGTGAGCTTGGAGCTCAAAATAAGAACACAACTTAAATACATCTATTTTTTAAAAATCACTTTCTTTCAAGGACTTCCTGGAGAATATTCAAAAACCCCTGCTCTAAGGCATTGTTCTTGGAAGAATTAAATTGTACTTATACCAATTTTTCTGCCATGCAAAGCAGCTACTTTAGTAGAGTATCTAGTATCTACTGGGGAGGGAAGGCAGTAATTGGTTGAACCTAGATCACCTTGAAGCCTATAATTCATAGTATCACATGACCAACACTACCAAATTGCATTGCTATGGAAACAATAGAAGTACATGAGCAGAACACAAAAGAGGAATATTGAGCCGAGCGAGAAAGGGGCAGTGCCTTGATCTGAGCTAATTACCTTCTCAGGTGGCACTGGATGAAAACTAGAAAAAAGATGGGGGTGGGAAAGTCAGTGGCGGAGCTGTGTGACTTAGACTATCACTCACTGGAGAGAACCACTTGTTCTGAGTTACATGTCTCAGTGTTAGAGAAAAACGTGGGAGATGGGCTTGTGTTTTTACATCATCAGTGGTGACGGGACTCAAGATGCAAGTCTAAGTTGTGCGGGTCCCTGGATGTGACCTTGGAAGATCCTCTGATCTTCTCAACCCAGTTCATTTATTATGACTTTTCCAGAAAGTATGTAGTTTAGTTTTGTCTCTTGCAAAGAAGAAGAAAAACATTAATTCTGTCTTCATCTCTTTATTCAGCATTTACTGGGAAAAAGTTCTCCAGGACTCAGGCAAGCTCATCTACCATATGACTTCTCCTCAGAGGGCACTCAAGCTACAGAGGAAGAGAGTCATTGTATCAGCCCTAGACGCATTCTTTCAGAGGTAACCATTCCATCCATTGATTATTCATTCCTTCTGCAACTGTTTACTGAGTGCCTGCCATGCATTATTCCTGAGGCACTAGGCTGGGTTCAGTGGAAAACTGAGGTGAATCAGGACCAAAGTAATGTGTTCACAGTGTTGACACCTGACTAGGAGCCAACCGTGGAACAGGACAGATTGGAGTCCACGCCAAAGAGAGATGCTTATAAAGTGCCCAGATTGCACAAGGGGTGGGAGACGGAAGAGCTGACCTCCAGACAGAAGGCCAGAGAAGGTCCTGTGGAGATGATATTCGACCCCCACTTAATGGGTAAAATTTGGACTTGGGAGTTGATTTGGGAATCTTTCTGCATTCTGGGCAGAAACAATATGAGGAAAGGTCCTTGGATGATAAACTGTGTGGAATGTACCAGCCAATATATTGATCATTTGGAAGCCCCTACTGAGTACCTTTTGTATACTAGGTTCTATACTGTACTAGACATTATGGCTGTAAGAAAGGACCCAGTATTGCTCCTGCCCACATTGCTCACCCTCTTACCAGTTACCACATGGTAATGCTACACAAGAGGTATGGTCAAAGAGCTCTGGAAGCAATAGAAAAAGGACAGATTTTCTCTTTCCACTGGAGTCAGAGAAGGCTTCAGTGATGAAGTGGCATTTGATATATATATATATATGTGCTGAGTAGTTTAGTTGGGCTCTCAAGTGAGTGACTGACATAGTGGGGACATGAGGGTACAGAAAAAAGGGCCAGTCATGATGGGTCTTGCATTCCAAACAGACTGCAGTTTTTAGGCAGCACAAGGGGCAATGATGGCTTCTGGGTTGAGAAGTGGCAAAACCTGAATTATCTTCCAGTACAATTAACCCAGCAACTGTATTTGAGACAGGTGATAGAAAGAAAAGAAATGGAAATGAAAGGTAGAAAGACAAAATTGGGAGGGACAGTGCTGTAACATTTCTCAGACTAGGGGTTTCTACAAGGTGGTGACATGTCCACACAGAAGCAGCATTCTGGGGTCAAATAAGTTCTAGAAAGAACAAATTAAAGTAAGTTAAACAAGCTTCTAACTTCGTAACTGCAGAGTTCTCAGAGCCTGTAGTATGCAGTGGGGCATCATAAATAGCCAAACAGGATACAACACGCAGTATTTCCCAAGCTCATATGCCCACACAACACTTCTTTCACCAAAAATAGTTTAATGCCAGTGTTCTCTGGAACACGGCGATGGCAACCAGCCAATCACGACAGTCCAACAACCAGGTTGTACTGAGCGCTGGTTACATGCCTGGCATTTGGTACATACTTCATGAGATGCCAAGTCTAGTAAGGCAGATAAAACCATGCTTTAAGATATTTTTTAAAAGACACCTACCCCACCAGAAAAATTAAGTACAAAACTGCAATTGAAGTTCAGAGAGGGGAGAGGTTGTCAGTGGCTAAGGGGTCAGAGCTGCTATGGGACCTCAAGCAAAGCCTGAACACAACCTCATGAGGCAGAAGAGAACAGGGGCATTCCAGGTGAAGAAAAAGCATGAAAACTGATACTAGAAGAGAACCATGTGTAGGGCGGAAAACCTGGCTGGACCAGAAGGAAGTGTCCCAGTGATGGGTTAATGATCAATTTGTTAGGTAAGCAATTGAAAGCCTTTAAGGTTTTTGAGCAAGCATTGCCTTAAATGACTCAAATAATTCCAAGGAGCTAGTTTGAGAGCCTCCTGAGGGCAGTATTTTCTAGAACCCTTACCATTCCTTGAAGCAACTTGACTGCCTGGGAACAAAGTCTGAGGTCAGTTCTGCAAAATGCCAGAGTCTTTGACCCAACCAGGTGACATGATTCTACAGTAACACTGGTTGGGGAAAAAGAGTTCATGTCATTAAGCGATGTAACACTTAATGTGTGATGAAACAGAAAAATAACTAGCAGTTTAGTCCAATATGACACTTGTGTCAGGAACATGGGGAACCCAGGAGAAAAAAGCAGACTTTGGGTCAGCCAGAAGTTTCCTGGTTCAGTCTCTCAGAATGAGCACCATGTTCCTGTGATGGTGGATGTAGTTACTATTTCAGGGCCCTGAGCCCTCATGTAAGGGATGAAAAGGTACCTGCCTTATTGATAGACTTGCATCCTTACATCTATTCCTCTCATCTATAGCTGGACCATGTTTCTGCTTCCAGTGATTCTAGTGAATCCATTGAACCTGGTAGTGCAGACCGGGTCTCCAAGAGAATTGAGCACTATTACATGTCAATGAAATCTTGGTATGTAACACTGACATATTTTTTAAATTGACTTTAGCTAATGTATTGTTATAGAACAATACTGTTGATATATGAGTACAAAAGCACTACCATAGACCAAGCTCAACACATTATTCAGTAATCTAAAAACAAGAAAAAGTAAGAATAGTTCCTCTACCCACAGAAAACCATTTACTGACATCCTCGGGACATTTTCTGTCTTCTGGGGACGTTATTTTCTATTTTGCATCTACGCCTCTCACACTCTCACTCCTGTCCCCCGAACCTTCCCGTGTAAAGAGTTATTTTGATCCTGTAGCCATTTTTAGAAGGGAAGTTTATTGGATTTGACTCTAACTGTGGCTGTGACTCTGACAGTTGGACATGCGTCAAGACATTGTTAGTTTTCACATAGCTGTTCACTACTTAAATCTCATTCACACACCATGGAAAGTTGTAAATAGACATGCTAAAAAAGGGTTCATGTTAACTTCTTATATTCTAGTTTTTTTGAAGAGACATCCCATGAGTCTGCTGATAGCAAAGAGGAATCACAGAATCTTCCAGAGACCCAGAATGGGAGGCTTCCCCTGCAGGAACAAGGTTCAGGAACTGACTCGTCTTTCACCTGCCAATGCGGAAGCACCGACCACAGATGACAAAAAGGAGCCGGCCTCACTGACTGTTGTGCAATTGTCTATATGAAACAAATAAAGTTCTAACTGCTAAAACTTTATGTGCCCTTAGAGCAAGGCAGGCTTCCCTCATTACTCAGGATTCAAATTAAAGGAGTTCCTAAAAGTCTCCCAGTCAGCCCAGAATCTGACCAGCTTCCCCTTCTCCCTGACGTGATGGTCAAGCACAGTTAAGTCATAGAGCTAAAAGCAAAGCAGCTCCCTGAGCTGTGGGGTGGCATTTTCAAATATTTTTTAAAATTCTCCTTTGGCTAGACTTTCAGGTCCTGGAACTTTGGATCGCACAGATCTGGATAGCATGTCACCCAGCTTTTCCTGTTAAAATTATTGGCATGCAAATCTTAGGAGGTTTGTTTACAGACCAAGAGGGAGATGTTTAGGCTTTCAGTGAGGCCAAGAGCATTTGATGAACCTGTTCTTAATTTTAACTCTTTTCAGGATCATCTTCTCTGGAATCATTTCCAGTGGAGAAATGTGCTAACTGACATGATATATAATCAAGTTAGTCCATTTGTGACTCCCATCCCATTGTCTACCATCCACTAGACATCCCAAGAGGGGTTGGGCATTAATAAGTAACTTACATTCATATTATTTTCCAAATGTTTTGGTCAATCTTGAGCTAGAAAATACTATCTCAGAGGTGGGAAGCCAAAATCTACTCAGAAACTATGTGCAGAGCCAGAGAGAGTTGCATCATATGACTTTTACAAGTATCTTATCTCATAGTAACGTCCCTGATGAAAGCCACGGGCAGGAACTCAATGTGTTCCTTTCTCCTCCTGACATCATAAGTTGTCTTCCTCTCACAGAAGCTGCAGGACAGATACGGTAGGTCGGAGATGTGAGGATTCATGATTCTAAATGGGGTGTATGAAGACTACAGTTTCATCTCGAAATGCTGTGATGGCAAAAGCTGTTCAGTAGAGCTTGGACTGTTGTGTCCCAAAAGGTCTTTGATTGAGGCAGGAATAAGATATTGATGTATGGGAGTGTCAGCCAGGAGGTGGGTGGGTATACGAGGACCCAAAAGTCCAGCGAACAGCAAATTTATGATTTTTTGAAAGCAAGGAAAAATGGGCAAGAATATATATGGCCCAGGGAAATTATTTCCAATCAATGGGCAAAGAGTATTTTGATTACACAATCACCTTGTTGGTTAGACAAATTGTGTTATCCCTGCTATCTAAATGGGAAACCCAGTAAGGATGATTAAGTGTCTAAGATGTGTGACTAGTTAATGGCAAAGTAAAAACTCATTTGTTCATGAATTCACTCACTCACCATTTATTGAACACTGGCTGTATGCTGGATACTGTGCTGTCCTACAGTAGCAAAAACAACCTCAGCCTGAGCTTAAGGAGCTTCCAGATTAGTGGATGAAACAAGCATGTTATGGGCTAGTTACAATACAGTGTGTGCCCTAGATAGCAGCCCAGGGCCACAGGAGCATAGAGAATGCAGTAAATCTGCTTAAGGGAGGCCTGAAAGGTGTCTCGGAGGAGTGTTTGGCTTGGGTTTTAAAGACTAGGTAGGTGTTTGCTTGGTGGAAAAGAGACAGCTTTCAGGCGCCCTGAATAACTGTCTGGTAACTATAGTATCTCCTTTGTCACTCACACTGGGACCAAGGTTTGATATAATCTTCTGAAAGTTACCAAATGATGCACTGACCCCAAAATCCAGGCATCAGCTCCAAAGCCAAGAAAAGAATTTTCACTGGGGAGCAGAGCCAGGAATTCTACCTGGGTGTTACTGACTGCAGCCTTTCTAGATTGTGAAGCCAGTTGCCTGGAAGGGAACAAGAGCACTTCTCCTGGGCTCCTTCTGCCTGCCCACTTTTGGTTGGATAACAGATACTATTGAGATATCTGGGGGTTCACCAATGTGATTATCTGGAAGATCAAAAAATTCCCCTGCTTTCCTACATTCCTGACTTCTTCTTCGTGTTAAAATGGATGGCCAGTTCTTTTTAAAAATTCACATAGCTGGCCCCTGGAAGGGAAGATGGGAGAATGTGGAACAAAAGCAAAGGGGAGATGGGAAACCACAGTTTCAGAGCATTTGGACCAATCAGACCTACTTTCCTTCCTGTTAGGCTACAGTTGAGAGAAAAGGGAGGCTGGGGTGGGGATGGGTAGGGACTGTGAAGAGAGAGATGTGTGATTTTAAAAGGAGGGGAGAAGGGATGAATGGGAGCAGGGAGGAGATGCCAGATGGCAGGAAAAGCACAATTCTGTCTGGGGCTGTTCCTGGCTGGGGTTCTCATTTGGATTCTCTAGCTTCAAGACGCTTTTTAATTCTTGGTACAACTGGGCCCATCCAGGCACCATTCACGCTCTCTGGTATCAGCCTTAAAATGCCAGTAGATGCCAGAGAATAAAAACCCATCTTCCATCTGAAATACAAGTCATCCTGGTTTTCTCTGGCCCAGATATTGTTGGGCAAGAATATATATGGCCCAGGGAAATTATTTCCAATCAATGGGCAAAGAGTATTTTGATTACACAATCACCTTGTTGGTTAGACAAATTGTGTTATCCCTGCTATCTAAATGGGAAACCCAGTAAGGATGATTAAGTGTCTAAGATGTGTGACTAGTTAATGGCAAAGTAAAAACTCATTTGTTCATGAATTCACTCACTCACCATTTATTGAACACTGGCTGTATGCTGGATACTGTGCTGTCCTACAGTAGCAAAAACAACCTCAGCCTGAGCTTAAGGAGCTTCCAGATTAGTGGATGAAACAAGCATGTTATGGGCTAGTTACAATACAGTGTGTGCCCTAGATAGCAGCCCAGGGCCACAGGAGCATAGAGAATGCAGTAAATCTGCTTAAGGGAGGCCTGAAAGGTGTCTCGGAGGAGTGTTTGGCTTGGGTTTTAAAGACTAGGTAGGTGTTTGCTTGGTGGAAAAGAGACAGCTTTCAGGCGCCCTGAATAACTGTCTGGTAACTATAGTATCTCCTTTGTCACTCACACTGGGACCAAGGTTTGATATAATCTTCTGAAAGTTACCAAATGATGCACTGACCCCAAAATCCAGGCATCAGCTCCAAAGCCAAGAAAAGAATTTTCACTGGGGAGCAGAGCCAGGAATTCTACCTGGGTGTTACTGACTGCAGCCTTTCTAGATTGTGAAGCCAGTTGCCTGGAAGGGAACAAGAGCACTTCTCCTGGGCTCCTTCTGCCTGCCCACTTTTGGTTGGATAACAGATACTATTGAGATATCTGGGGGTTCACCAATGTGATTATCTGGAAGATCAAAAAATTCCCCTGCTTTCCTACATTCCTGACTTCTTCTTCGTGTTAAAATGGATGGCCAGTTCTTTTTAAAAATTCACATAGCTGGCCCCTGGAAGGGAAGATGGGAGAATGTGGAACAAAAGCAAAGGGGAGATGGGAAACCACAGTTTCAGAGCATTTGGACCAATCAGACCTACTTTCCTTCCTGTTAGGCTACAGTTGAGAGAAAAGGGAGGCTGGGGTGGGGATGGGTAGGGACTGTGAAGAGAGAGATGTGTGATTTTAAAAGGAGGGGAGAAGGGATGAATGGGAGCAGGGAGGAGATGCCAGATGGCAGGAAAAGCACAATTCTGTCTGGGGCTGTTCCTGGCTGGGGTTCTCATTTGGATTCTCTAGCTTCAAGACGCTTTTTAATTCTTGGTACAACTGGGCCCATCCAGGCACCATTCACGCTCTCTGGTATCAGCCTTAAAATGCCAGTAGATGCCAGAGAATAAAAACCCATCTTCCATCTGAAATACAAGTCATCCTGGTTTTCTCTGGCCCAGATATTGTAGCTCATTGCAGGATTTTCTTCAAAACCGGCTTCAAAGGGTGTGCATGAGGACAGACCAAGAACAAACAATCCTAAGGATAATGTTTAGCCACTTGAGTTTTAGAAAGTAAAACCACTGGCTGGATCTCAAATTCAGAGAAATTCCATACCATAACCTGTAGGTGCCCCTTAAAATACCAAGGTGTTGTACCTTTACACCTGGAAAAGTCTGGACTGCAGAGGACACTGAAGAGGAGTCTGGCCATTCAGGAGGGTCAGCTGAAAGGAGCTGGAGAGTAGCAATGCAGGACCCACCTCAGCAGAGCCAGGCTGGGCCCTGGACTCTGTACTGGACTCTGCTACTCACTGCTGTGTGATAGGAGCAAGTCAGTGCACCTCTCTGAATTTCTGCATCTGCATCTAAACTATTCCCTCTGCCTATTGAATTGAGGATATTAAGAGTCCCAGGTGGGATAATGATTATGGAACACTGTGACAATGTAAGGCCTTATTATCTCAGACTTTGCCCAGACACCACAGAGATGGGTAAGTTCCTCAGATAAAACAGTGTGTTCTGTGAAGTCATACTGCACACAACCCGCCTTTGTTTGGGACTGTCCAATTGGAAATACTCATTCCAGGAAGGCACGATTCCTGAAAGAGATGTGATACCGTGTCAGCCTTCCCAAACACATCCTGCGCATAGTCCAGAACGCTGAGACAGAGTGGCCTCTTGGGTTCAATAATTACCTTGTTTTCTTAAAGACCCAGGAAGTATTTTAGTAGAAGCAGTTTTAGGTCATATCCAGCAAAGATTTGTTTGCTCTGCAAGTAATAAGAGAACTACTTAACAGTTCTAAGTTTGAATAGTTGATGTACTAACTAACGGATCCTGGAAGGCCCCCAAAATCAAATCATTTTTTCATAAATACAGAAATGAAGGCAGACAACTAAAGGACTAATCAAAATCCATGAATGTTAATGCAAACACGGGCTTCAGAGAATATATCTTAACCTGCTGTTATCTTGTGTGGGGAAAAAAATCAAGGCCTCAAATGTTCAATAATATATTTCCTTTATGACACCCAATTTTGTAGCTGTTTAGTGACAGAACCAAGAATCTAAAACCCGCTCTGTTTGTGGTAAGCATCTAGTAGTGTATATTATTATTGAGTCACCATGTTGTACATCTGC